CTGTACCCGGATGAGTGGGCGAATGCGGTCAGTGCCCTTCGCCATGTAGGAGACAATCCCTATTACGGATATCGAGGGATCGAGTATGTTCGCTCAATCAGGTATAAGTCTGTTTCTTGGTTTTGTAGCCGTGTCCTCCTCATCGGTGGTGATAAAACCCTAGGCACATATGCAGGATTTGTAGTAGATCGGCTCCAAAAGGATGAGCATGTAGAGAACATCATTCAGAGCTACTTCCAAGGAGCTGACTTGGATACAGACCCGTCACCTGAAGAGTATGCAAGTTACCGCACGTTGTTGGAGTTAGTGCGTATCCATCCTGCCAACACCGGACTCTTCATGAACATGGAGGGTCATGCTGATCCAAAAACCTCTGGGAGCGGAGGTGATCCAACAGGCCCAGATGACAGTGGGTCTTACGGGAGCGCTCGAGGAGAAGCTGCACCAACATCTTATGACGACCTTGACCTAGGACGTCTGAAAGTGGATGATGATGATGAGTCTGACTCAACTCCAGATGCAAGCATCTCAACTCCTTAGTCGGACAGTCACGTAATTTCTTTGCACCTTTTGTGCTAAGTTTGTATTCGATGTGTTCATTTTATTACCTACTTTGTGTAGGTAATACATACATGGGAGTGTTCCACCAGGTGTGGTTCCTTTTTCAGTGTGTGTTGAGTGTGTTCTCAGTTTTATAATACATATGGAGACAAACCAGTTCAGTTCATATAAAGTTACATAGTCTTCACCCATTGTTGTAAAAAAATAAAAAGTAAAGAAAAAAAAAATAAGGTTGAAAGAGTCATCATTATATATATACTGTATATTATATTATATATATATTAATATATATATATATTATATTATATATATATATTTTATCCATTCACAAAGGATAAAATAAACACACTAGAGACAGTACAACCAATGAGGCATACAAAAGGACACAAATATAAGTTTGCATGTTATTAATGAATAATCCCATTTATTTAATGGCGGCATTATATCGTGGTCCTTCGTATTTAAAACAAACTCCCGCGCCCAGCTAACCATGCTATCTAGAGACGGATGGCTTGTTACCACTAACTAGCGCTTAGCATTTCCCCAACAAAAAGATATATCCTTGGCTTTAAACCACAACTCGGTACAAATTAATAAAGCGAAATAATTGGGGATGGTATTTACACGTGATATTGGGCGTATATGACTATTAAACCCAGATATTTACTAACCTGAATTGGGAGAGAAATACCGCACACGTGTAAGCGAGAGCGCTTCCATGCAGAATTTGTTCATGATGAATTTCTTGCTCAGGATTATTGCTCTACCCAACACTCGTGGTCCAGCGCCCCCGCTCGGAAGGGAGTCTGAATGTGGATAAACACAAAGTAGGAAAGCAAGGAGAAAGAAAAAAATTATAAAATATATATATATATATATATACACATACATACATATACACCTATTTTGGGGTGACTGATATTCATCCTGTTACGCTGGCATAGATGTCCTATTCTTGCAGCACTGGTTCGATTCCCAGGTGCCTCCTGCTGTTTAAAGGGTCAGTGTGTGGTTCAGCGGCTTAAGCATGTGTGCTAGTGGTTAGTGGTTTGAATTCTGTGCTCAATGGAATAGTTACATGGCCATTAGGCCCTTAGCAGAGAAATCCTCCAGGGGAGATGGATTAAAGGCTGACCCTGTGCTCTGACCCAATCTTCACTCTCATATGTCCGTCTCAAAGGAGAACAAGATGGGATATGTGAAAATGCTCTTCCAAGAACAATGTGTACAAATGGCAAAGCCTCATTTCAAGGCAATGGTGTGAGACAACACTGATCAGTTTGCTGTGGATGTTGACCTGTGTTTGTGTATGTTTGGTCCTGTGGTTAGTTTCAACTGATTTTATAACAGGTCTCATGTGATTGGCTAGGAATACTGAAGATTGAAATTTAACGATGGGGAAGGTAGAACTGGGATGTCTAGGCCAGGGGTATGGCGAGCTTACAGTCTCAGCCTGAGTGGGTGGGTGCCGTTTGAGGAAACCCAAAGGATTGGGAACGTTTATGTCAAAGTTCCAAAGGCAGTATTATACAGAACTGACCAGGAGCAACCTGTATCTCATTATCCAGTTATGTTTCGGTCGATTTGGACCTTTTAAATAAAAAAGGTATCTTTCTACCTGCCCTGATGTCTAATGGATTTCTGTTTCAGGCCTTAATCATTATGTATGACTCAGTCTAGGTTTTCTCAGTAAGTTCAGGCTCCGTGGCCATTGTTTGTTTAAGCATCTCTCTTTCCAGACTGAATCAGTATGCATAGTTTAATCATGCCTCATCGATCTGCTAGAATAGTAGGGGAGAACAGTTTTACCATAACACGTGTCTCCACATTATTTTTCAGTCTCTGGGTCTCCTATGACCCCCTACGATCTCCTGCGAAAAAGGCGTAGGAGATCGCCCACGCGTTCATCTAAGCAGATGGACCGCCCAGGCATCATCTAAAATGTCATTGCAAGATTTCTCACTCCTGCTCTTCAGTTCAAGTTTAAACTGCTGCTTATTGACCAGGTATATTAGTGGTTCTCAACCTATCTTGCACCACGACCCAATGTTTACCATGCCGGCTCAGTCACGACCCTATATGAGGTTTAAATTAACGCTACGATCAAGCACGCAGTCACTCTGCAATATACAACAATCAATTCCTATTGCACAAATCTGATTGGATGTGCCAATAAATTTTAAATTAAGCATCTCTGGGTTGGCTTCTTGGATTGGTTGAGTGTTAGCTAGTTTTTGCTAAGCATTTTCAGACCCAAGACTTGTTCATAGGTTAATTCTAGGATTGGGGCTGGGAAATCTGATCGTGGATCAGCATAGGAGCTTGGTGGTTTTAAAATGCTTACATGTCCAGCTCTGCCTTGCGACCCTCTCAGAACTCGCCGTGGCCCAAATTTGGGTTGCAACCTATGGGTTGAGAATCACTGAGTTAGACCACGTGTTGGTTCCTCTGACACTGAAAGTTTTGCCTCACACAGCAGCTGTGTTGCTGATAATGCAGACACACCCACAAGACTTTTTTGCTCATTGTCTTATTCTTCTTATTCTACCTAGTAGAATTATTACCGATTGTAGCTCATAGATTCTTCAGAGCGTGAGTTGCTGGAGAGTGAGTGTGATTTAAGAGGTTTGCTAATCCTTACTAGCCTTATTAGCTTAATTATGTCAACAAATACACTGCTGCTCTAAAATAACCAAATAGACCATATTAAGAAACTAAATGAAAAAGTAAGAAAAGCAGACGTATAAATTATTTTGAGGCGCGTGTGTATTGGGAGAGCCAGCTCGATGCAGTATGCTCATAAAAATAACGATCAGGAGAGAGAACAGGAATGTGTCTCCAGAACGTCGTCTGAGTCAGATTCCCAGAATGAACGGCTCATCACCATTCATCACCAGATACATGTGATCAAATTAAAATGACCAAATAAAACTTGGAACATAATCTATTAGTCAAGCAGCACATGTCTAGTCTCACCACAGCCTTACAAACCTTGGTGTCATGTTAACTGCCCAGGGAATCCTGCATCCACCCATCCTGCACCATTTTCTCATAATGTCAAAATGATCAACAACCTTGGTCCCATTAGCCAAACCAGGCTATTGTCATGTCTTGACCTGGCCACTAGAGGGAGGCTTGAGGCAACATCAGACATGGCTTCCTGCCTATTGGCAAATTGCATAGTCACTGGTTAGTAGCTGCACCTGTAGCTGGAGGTACTATTTTAGTCTAATTTTGAGTGGGATATGTTGTTCACTTGTACGGTTACTTGTCTGTGGGTTCTGTGAGCACGTGGGATTCTGTGTCTGAGGATCTCTGGAGTTTGGATGGTTTTCCCTTTACTGTTGTGTTTTTTGTTTTTTGTTTTTTAAGTCATTGCAGTGGTCTTTGGATAAACTTTGTAAATTGACCCCTGCCTCTTTAGTTTTATTTTAGACTGAGTTCGTAGCTAATCTGGCAGGAAGCAGACCTTCCATGAGGAAGAGCTCATGAAAGAACAACTACAGGCAGCAAGCATATCTATACGTATAACTACAGCTGAACTTGCTGCATCCTAAAAAAAAAACAAAATGAGTAAAATAAAAGCCTAAAAAAAAGAACATTTCATTTTAGAATGTTTAGTTTCTTCACATGGTTTGTTTAATCATCCATTCTCAATTAATTCAGAGTGAAACACACTGTTCTATATCAGTGGTCTACATCTTACATTTCTTACATTTGTGTCCGGCATAACATCGAAAGATACTTAAATATTAATTTGTGTGTGGTTTAGAGATACTCTAATGGTTGGGGCTTTCACTGATCTTCATTGAAGAAAATCGGTTTAAGGTTAATTCTATGCTAGCTCTTTGAGATTTACCTGCGGCTTCATGTTACTTGTTTCTTGTCAGGACTTTGCATAAAAACCAATTTGTTTGGGGTTTGAGTCCTCAGTGGTTTCTTTTACTGGAAACGTAGTGTAGCCTGCATTTACTCAAAAGCTGCTTCCGTTACCAAGTCTTATAGGTCTCCCTTCCGCTTCCACACTGTTACAGGCCTTATTTTATCCCAATAGCCTAAACAGAGATTCTCATTTTGAGTGCTGCTGCTGGGTCCTCAAGTAGGTGGCCATAAATACGCCTGTCTTTTTGATTGATGAATAAAGTAACACTGCTCATTACAGCAGCACACTTATGGGAATAAGGTAATCGGGATACCCGGCTTCTGACTGCTGTTAGCTTGGCTAAGACTGATGATCAGCCTGTTCGCGATAAATGTTTGTTTTTATTACTACATGCATTTTTTTTGTGTTTTTCTTAAATGCTGGCAGCCATCTCCAGTAATATTTTTTGATTCTTCATGAAGGCATGGATATTTTATTTATATGTTGGGCAAATGTTTTGAAACGGGACAAACACGATGTAATTCCCCTCTTGTTTCCTGTTGCTTCTCGCCGTCAGGGTTTAATGGAGCGGCTTTCGAATGACAGCTGGGACAGTGGTCATCACAGGTGGAATTTTAGCTACAGTCATCTTACTGTGCATCGTCGTAGTGCTCTGCTACTGTCGCCTGCAGGTACGGTGCACCAAACACCCCGAGGAAATGCACAACAAAAGCCCTGGGTTTATCTGATTGGGAAGCAGACACTGGAAAATTGTTCACTTCAGTGCTTCAAAATACAGTGCTGCGAAACAAAATCCCAGATCTCATTTTGCTGAAGTGTTTCTCCAGTGGGCGGATTTGATTGAAGACTCCTGCTTAAATGTTTTGTAATCCTATGCTGGTTGGGTAATGATCAGACTCAAATTGTGAGTAGCAATGAGAATAATAGGCAGAAAAAAACTGCTCCTTTTCCTTATTAGCGAAACAGTAAGTACAAAAAGGGGACGGCGTCTTCTCAGCCTGACCCCCGAGGAGCTGCAGAGTGTAGCCAAATTGTAATTAACTGTTTCTTCTCATTTGCATGCACTTTCTTGGACACCGTTACCAGTATTACTGTTGTAAGCGGGAGGAGTTGGAGTCAGACTCAGAGTCGGACTCAGAGGAAGAGGAGCTGCACGAGGAAGCCATCTTCGGCATGACCCCCCACCTGCCACTCGATGCCGTGGCGGCTTGCACAGCCAACGGGCCTTGCGTCTACCCATCAGAGATGCCCCCCAGACTGGCGCGGTCCCACACTTTCTGCCCATCCTGTGCCCACCACGAGCTGCCCTTCCTGATGCCACGCCCGCATGGGCTTTACAATGGCGCAGAGTGGGCTGGCCATAGGACTGTGTCGCGCTGGGGTCCCAGGATGGCCCCGGACAAGCTGCAGCTGACCCGCTCCATGACCATGAAGGAGATGTTTACATATGGACACAGCATCAGTACCGACGTCTAGTGCTCTTTCCGCACTGATCCCCCTCAAAACCACAGTCCAAACATCTTCACATGTCATCCTGCCCCCTGAATATACCCAAAAAAACGTCGAGCAGATGTTTTTGTAAGTGGGCCTACTTACACTCACTCACTAGCTGAAGTTTTTCTAGGAATCTGTCTCTGGAGGTCGAGGCGAAACTCTGGCAACATTGCAGTTCTGATCTGTCTTTCTAGTCTAGTATTTCCTCAAATTTTTCAGATGTTTGGGTTCCTATCTTCATTCCGTGCTGCTAATGGCCTTAGGGGAAATGGACGAAGGATTAAAACGTGTCGAACCCCTGCTCCCTATTCCTGACTCCTGTAGCTCTCTGTAGCCTTTGGCTGACGGTGCTGCATCCAGCGTTATGCATTGCTGACCAGCGGAACAGAATTCTGTTTGCCTGGTGCACAATTACTGCACATTGGGGGCAACGTCTTTGATTGTATGTTTGTAATGTAAATATTTATACTTCCTGTAACATAATGTATAAACGGATGGACTACGCACGATCCTGAGTTGTCATATACTGGTGGGCGTGTCGTGTGAAAATGTACTCTGAAATTTGGTGGAAGCGGGATCAAGTAAGCACACCGAGTGTGGGGCGTAACGCTTGGGCGACACACCCCCTCGATGACCTGCAAGAGTGGACAGTACCAAACGAGAACTGTAAACATCACTGATAATTCAGACAGAAGGGGAAAAAATCCTATACTTTTGATGAATTACATTAAGAAAACCTAAATCAGTTATGAGCTATTTTAGGCACAATAAAAATGGTATTTTTTACATTTAGCTAAATTGTGTATTTTTTTACTTTCATTTAATAAGATTCAGTTATAAGTGACAGTTAAGCTCTTCGCAGTGCCATGATCATTTTATCATCATTTGGTTCGGTGGACTGCGATCTTTCTTCGTGATTGTTCTGTGTTCGCAAAGCATCATGGGACTGGAAACGGTTGCTGCACCCTGCGCTTAGCAGCGTAGGACTAGGTCCCTGGCCAGTTTAATCTACTTTAGCCAGTTTTTTTGCCGGAACTGGGTGGAAGCGTGCTGTACGCCTGCAGGATCATGCCATTCTTTGCCAGCCTCAAAATTCGATTTGCCTTATTTTTCACAGTGAAGAGTTGGAGAGGCTGACAGGCGGAAACTTTGGAAACGGATTTTGGTGAGGATGTCAGGAAGAGCCGCAGCTTCTTCCTGAGGACTGAATGCTTGATATTTTTTCCCGCCATCTTTTTATTGCTTTTACTTAAAATTTTGATTGTTATTTCACCCTGAACTGGTGAAATTCTGCACGGCATGAACACTGTAATGCCAAAGCTAGTATTCTTCACTGCTTGTTTTTAAATGCTGTCCTGCCGTACTTGCCACATGTCTGAGTGTAGCTCATAGCAGTACTTAGTGGCTGCTTAGGGGCTCGTGACCACTAGAGGGCCCCATGTCATCATCATTTGGAAGTCTAAAGTACTGGTTTTGAATTTGGTTTTCATGATATTATGACAGTGGCCTGTATTTTGGTCAACATAGTGCAAGACGTGTGAGAGGTGTACCACACAGGGCTACTGAGTATACTGTACTGTATGTGAAAAAGGCGGAGAACATGTGTATCAAAGCTTGTTTCACCTGATCCCAGCAAATATTTGCTGACAATTCATTTGACATATTAAACCTCAAGTCAGGCTCACATTTGCTAATTAGTCAATGACACCATAGTCATTTCTGTGCATGCAAAAATAAGACCTTCGTTTGCCAGATGCCATCTCTGAGAACTTTGGTGTGGCACCATATCTCAGCTAGATGTGCAGGGTGGATGATAACTAGCTGGAAAAGTTGGCATTTTGCTTCTGTTGTCCTACTAATCAGAACAGATGGTCAAAATCATCCTGTGACAAAAAGCGTTCAGGTGGGTGAACTTCCATCCTGAAAACACATCCTGCTCAAATAGCCAAGCTATGAAAAAGGGCACATTTGTAAATATCTGTGTTACTGTAACACACCATTTATTAGCCTAAATGTAACCACTTTAATTGTGTGCATCTTCATCATGCTCATTACTGCTGTGATTTTAGGGGAAAAAAGGAGAAACCTTATGTGACTAAACAGGAGGTGTCTGATCAACTCTATGTTCTTCATTAATCTTGAAATGTTCTGTATATTACACATCCTTACTGAATCGATATGAAATATGTAATACTTATTTGGTATTAAACATTGCAGTTTGATCATCTTTAAGAGCCTTACTAGACGATGCTATTTTATGCCTTGCTCTGGAAAATAAAATGAGTCAGATTGTCAGATATCAGGCTGTGTGTTTCATTAGAAGGACACCAGTGGACAGCAAAACAAGAGTTTCCGAAGTAACTTTAAAACTTATTTTAATGTGTGTGGGTGTGTGTATTTTATGGTTTTGTTAAATATGTAGTATTCTTGTGTGCCAAGCCTATAGAAGAGGTGTCCCCACTTTTTTCCCTTAGGAACAAATTCCGAATTCTATCAGCAACACAACAAAGATCCACTGACAATGGGGGGGGGGGGCTTCACTTATTCTGTCTCCTCATCAAACAGGTCATAGGTCAGCCTGCTGTACTCTGAGGGCAGAGCTGAGGTGGGAGCGTTGACAGTGTGTCGAGCTGTCCCTCGCTCTGCGAACCGTTCACACACACACACACACACACACACACACACACAAACACACCTTTGTTTTGCTGATCAGATAGGTATTATTATTTATACTGTATGTGCAGCTTGTTATCTGAATTTTTATTCTGGATGGTGTTGTGTCTGCAGTCTCCGGGATATTTACTAATACTGTCATCATTGTGAGGCCCGGCCCACGGCATAAACGAACTGAGTGGCCTAGAAAGCCAAAAGAGGGGCCCTCATCTGATCAGTCTGGGAATGGAAAGAATGGGAAGGAAAACAATGGCAACCGGGCTAATCAAATTTTGCTTAGGGCTCAGAAAAAGGGTGGGGCTGGCCCTGTCTATTGTGCAATGTGTTTTCAGCTGGTCAGTGTCCATGCAGCGGGGAAAGTGTGAGTGTGTCTCTAGCATGGCTGGAAGCACACGAGGGGCTGATGAACGTGATGTGTCGGATAAAGCATGTCACCTTCCGCTGAGCTGGGATTCACATGGCATTGCTCTGACACAGCTGTCTGCCTGGGATTAAACAATTACATTTAATTATTCCAATTAAGGACAGCATTACGCCTCTCAGTCATCATCGCTTAGAGCTTTTCCTCTAAAATTAGAATTATAAATTCTGTAACAAATCTTTAAATAAAAGCAAAACATTTGCAATCAAAATACTAAATGAAAGTGATAACAAGAACATGCATATGAAAATATAGTCTTCTGGTAGCGATAGATACATGATTTTACAGTATTTATAGTAAAGTACAAATGGATACATTGTGCATTTTGATTGATAATAAAATAGCTTGTTGAAGGCCTGAAGAAAGCATTTTACAATGGAAAACAGGGTTCTAAGATAGGGTGAGGTAAAGGTTCCTGCAACCTGGCCACAGCTTCCGTGACAAATGCATCTGGATGTTAAAGGCTTGGGTTAGACGTCTCGTGATGATGTAACCGACCATCGGGATGCCACACCAAAATGCTGAAAGCAACACACTGTTACATAATCCCCATTTATTGCTTTGTTTTTTTTTTGTGATTCCTTTGGGCTTTGTGTTATTATGCATGATTGCCATAGATATGCAATGGCATTGCTTTCTCCTGGGAAGGGGGGGTGGTATGTGTAGTTATTATTATTGAAATTACTCTACACCCCCCTCTGCATAAGTGCCAGACCCTGATGCACTGTCTATTGCAAGCATTTTTTTTTTTTTGCTCTAGCCATCTGTCAACGCAGAGCTATACGAAGATCCAGTCTCACGGGCAAACAGCAGGTCGGTGAAGCACACTGCCACCTGGTGGCCACATGGCCTGGGTACGTGGAATTAATATGCATGTAGCTAAAGGTGGGAGGCAGGGAGAGAAGTGGACAGGTTGCAGGAAAGCAGGAGCAGACCTCAGTTTGGACATACAGTACAAGTTCTTATTTCTGGAGTCAGAGGTATCATTTCAATATTGCACATCTGTCATGCAATAGCCTCGACATCATGGAAAACCCCATTCAATAACAATACTAACCATAAATATAATGTATAGACATGCAGTATACTCCACTCAGCAATAATTTAACGTGTCATTCCATGGCAGTGGAATGTTGTCAAAACTGTGTATCTGTAATATCAAAGTCACTGCTGGCTTTTGTGTCTGAGCCCTACTCGACTGGAGTAGGTCAAAGTGTTCTCTCACATATAAAGAAAGACGTCAATGGATCTCCCCACTCAATGTCCCCGACCCCCTTGGGGACATCGTGGTCATGACTGGGACAGCTATGGGATATATGAAATGGCAAAAAGATGCTGGAAATGGCGGGATGGCCCAACGTGAAGGGTGGGCGGGGGGGGGGATGCGTGACTTGGTACCTGTATTACTCCCAATTTGACGAACCTCAGAGGGAAAAGGAGCTCCTCCTCTGGCCGCCCCAAGAGTTAAGGAACACTGACGTTCATAGACTATTTCAGAGGCACCGTAGGACAAGAGGACTGCAGATACAGCGGTCTTGGGGTTGGTTTTTTATACATTTGAGGCATTAAATTCTAGGTGAGGGAAGAACCTGCCATAGTCCAGTGCTTGTGCCCCCCCCGACATCAAATGGGGGGGGGCGCTCTTTGTCCCAGGGCACATCTTGGAAGGTCAGCATGACCCAGCTGGGGCTAGGAGGAGCGAGTGGCCCTGCAGGAGTGGCAGCAGGCCTTGCTGTAGTACCAGTGGCTGCACAGGTTTACCTTCAGAGCCAGGGTGCAGTTGGTGGTGGGCCGGTCTTGGCAGTTCTCATCTGTGCAGGAATGCAGGCACCCAATTAAAAATGACTGCATGAACAGTCAGCCAATCAGAGTGAGCGGCCTCCCTCGCCATCCTACCCTACTCTACCTGGAGGTGCCGTTGGGCAGGGCTGCAGGGCACAGGTCTGCTTAGCCACCGGCTTGGTCAGGGGGTCGCAGCCTCGGACGAGCTCCCTCCCCTGGTAGCACTTGACGTCCCTCATGCGCACGCCCACTCCACAGGTCTTGGTGCACTTGGGTGGCAAAAGCAGCGGCAAGGCTCTTAATTTCCCAGCATGCACCAAAGTTCGGGTGGGCGGGGGGGTCACCTTTTCAAATCGTATCGATAGACTCTGGGTCGCACAAAAATATGTCTGGACCCTGAAAAATTCAACTGCATGACCCCTGCCTCCTTTTCTAAATCAAAGCTACCATTATTTACTAATTCATGAGCTCCCTCCAGCGTCTGGAACCCTGAAAGTCTTCCCCTTTCTCCCCACCTTACGGAGAGTCACACATTGACGCGGCAGCTCACCTCGGACCACGGCGTGGTGTACCACTTAAAGCAAGGCCTCTCGAAGCAGGTGCTTTCATCCGGGGGCCGTTTGTCAGCCTCACATTCATCATCCGAGTAGGTCTGGAACTTTCCCCCAGTGATTCCCACACAGAGAACGATCCGGTGCTTCTGACCACGGCCGCACGTGGTGTTGCACTGCGGGAGACAAACCTGAATTACAACAAACTGCAGTATCCCTGGAAAACTAACAGTAGCCTGCAGCAAAAATCTCAAGTTTGAGTCAATATCAAGCATCTGTAAAGCTCATGGGAGTTTTACTTACGCAGAAATGTTCTGAGGGCAGAACACTTTTGTTGAGGAAGTAAGTCCAAGCAACTAGAGGAAGCAGGACCAGCCAATCAGATGTCTTGGTCTCGCAGATTCTAGTCGCTTGAACCCATCTCCTCTACAATCTGATTGTCTGGTTATCTCTCAGAACCAGTCATTTTTCACTCTGCCCTCAGAATATTTTTGTGCAAGTAAAACTCCCAAAGTAAAGTTTATTATCATAGGAATATTGCATCAACTGCAATAGATTATTCATGTATCATTCATTTCTGGTTTTTAGTCTTTAAACATGCACCTGTCTGCTTGTCAGTTAATGCAAACTTCAGGTGTAAATTATCATTAAAGTCTCATTACTTCACCCATATGAAGTATGATTTATCCTGTGAATTCCTTTCTCAGGCAAAATTTAATGTCTTTCCTTCTCACTCCCCCAGCTAAATTACCCTCTCCCAGTCTTGTGCCAGCCAGTGTGGGGGGCATTCCCTCTCTCCACAGGGGTGGATGGCCAGCGGCTTCTTCTCAGGGTCACACTGGGACTCCGGCACCACCCTTCCATCCGGGGTCTTGCAGTACACGTAGCGCGCCATGGTCCCCTGGCCGCATGAGCCGGAGCACTGTGTCGTGATGTCATCAAATGGGGACACAAAAGACAACAACAGAGCTAAGCTATCAAAAAACATTTCCTATATTCACTCGGGAAATGAAAACCAAAAACGTATTATGGGATAATGACAAATGATGACTGTATTGCTTATACATGGGCACGTTGTTTGTCGCTCCTCTGATTACATGACTTTGTAAAAATGTCAAATACATAAGAAAATAAAATCAAAACGTAGGATATTAAAGATATTGCAAAAGGCAAATTGTCAGGTGCAGCGTGATACTGATCATCAGATGAAATAAGAATAGCTTGTAAATAAAACTAAAATTGAACCCACACGCAAGTACACTGGAAGGGGAATGTTTTTTTATTATAGTGATTTTATTAAAGACATTCTTCATTACAAAAATATTCTGTCAACCAGTCTTTGCTTGCTTTTGTATTGTAAACTCTGGCCTTGTCACTTTTTTTCTGAAGAGACATTGAGAGACTCACTTTCATAAATATAATGTATGGTGACACCTTTGTGTTTCTCTCTGCCTCGTTGCCAGTGTTGTGCATGCCCTGTGATGTCACTTCCTGTCCCATACTCACAGGCCCCCACTCAGACACGCTCCACTGGCGCTCACATGGCGGACCCGTGCAGTTCTTGGATGATGGCGGGCGGCTGGACAAGTCACATGTCTTCTTCTCATCCGAGCACCTCACTTCCCTCATCACCTGACTCGTGCTGCCACAATTTGCTGGACACTGGGAGAAGTGACAGACAAAACAAGAACCGGTTCATCGGGCTAAATTCCCCCTCACATTATCTCTGTCTTGGCACTGTCCTGTAACAATCCATCTTACTTTATTAATGAATATTAAAAAATCATTGTTTAATATCATACTATGTGAGCTTCATGAATGGACCAGAAAATAAGTGTAACCATTATATGTTGCACTGCTTTCTCTAACATGAATAAGCATAATTATGGATGGCCAAATTAAGCTTCATGAACCATTTGCTGTATTTTTTGACCCCACTAGATGGTGCTCTTGGCTTGCTTTGGGGCCTGTTTCGAGCCCTTTGTTGAACAGAGAGCACCATCTAGTGGGGACAGGAAATACAGCAAGTGGTTCATGAAGCTTCATTTGGCCATCACTAGGCAGGATGGATTGTGGGTATTTAAAATGTCTGTTCTCTTTGCTAGCAAATTAAGTGGCCTCTCCAGGAGGCAGCCCACCTCAGACCACTCTGCCACTTCCCACTGGGGGCCACACGTGGGACTCTTACAGGGCCGACGCTCAAGGGGGCGCTCCAGCTCTGCGAGGGTGCAGAGGTCACTGTACACAGAGCTGTCCAGCCCCGGGGACAGCATCTTCCAGCAGCGAACCATCCGGAACTGGAAGCCTTCCCCACAGGTGCGAGAGCACTCACTCCAGCTGCTTGCCTCCCACCTAGGGGAGAGGCAAGGGTGTTTGTGTGGTTGCCAGGACGACTGTGATGTCATAATACCAAAACAATATTAAACATTAACATTTCCAGCACCATTAATAGACACAGTGTGATGTTCAGCTACATCAATAGTTCTAAGCCTGGTGTTCAATTTCAGAACGTTCTTAAAATTCTGTCGTTAAACTTTAAGCTACCTGGTGCTAATAGGAATCAGAAATGGACTCCCCTCTATTAGACCTTCGTACCTGGGCTGACACTCTCTCCCGATACAGAAGTCGTGAACAGGTTCGGGCCGGGTCAGGGCATCACAATATGTGTCATCCACCTCCACGCCATCATAGCGCACACACATGGCGAACGACTTGGCCACACCTGCCGTCCAAGAAAGAGACGGGGGGATTACCTATGAAGTGTGCCTTTCTTCTAGAGCAGCTACAGTACTAATTTGGCACAGGAAGATGATGAGTCTGAGATTCACCATGCTAGGGCCTGATCTGGTACGTCTCCATTATTACATAAACATGTTTTTATAAATGCGAAAGCGCAATATATATTATGAAATGCCTTAGCAGAGGAATTCTGGAATATGACTTGGATCGTTTCTGTGAATCTCCTCCCTTCCTAGACAAGAACACGTCTGAACTCCATTAGCCACAGAAGGACATGGGCAGCATTGTTAGCAGATCATCGTATGGCGTCATCTCCTTATAACTCCTGGCCTGCTGGTGAGCGAGCAGGTCAACAGGCGGGTGAGCGAGCAGGAGAGTGAGTGGGTCAACAGGCGGGTGAGCGAGCAGGAGAGCGAGCGGGTCAACAGATGGGTGAGCAAGTGGGAGAGCCAACGGGTCAACGGGCGGGTGAGCGAGCAGGAGAGCGAGCGGGTCAACAGGCGGGTGAGCGAGCGGGAGAGCAAGCGGGTCAACAGGCGGGTGAGCGAGCGGGTCAACAGGCAGGTGAGCGAGTTGGAGAACGAGCGGGTCAACGGGCAGGTGAGTGAGCGGGTCAGCAGACGGGACAACAGGCGGGTGAGCGAGCAGGTCAGCAGGCAGGTGAGTGACCAGGTGAGCGGGCGGGTGAGCTAGCGGGTCAGCATTCAGCAGGCCGGTGAGCTAGCGGGTGAGCAGTCAGCAGGCCGGTGAGCTAGCGGGTCAGCATTCAGCAGGCCGGTGAGCTAGCGGGTTAGCGGTCAGCAGGCCGGTGAGCTAGCGGGTCAGCATTCAGCAGGCCGGTGAGCTAGTGGGTCACACCTATGGAGCAGGTCATGCTGCAGGGCTCCTGCGAGGACAGCTTCCAGCGGTACATGTCCGCCGCGCTCAGCCTCAGGTTCTTGTTCGGGGGCTTCTGGTGATTTCTGTCGACAGAGAGACCATGAGATCACACTGGCATATTGAGACATGACTGCTCTGTGCTAATCTGAGGCATATCATTCCCTCATTGTGATTTCCAGCTGTAATGGAATATAATGATAATCATTCTGGTAAGACAATGTAATCTGAAATAATAATAAGAAGAAGATGGTGAAGAAGAAGAGTAACAGCAACAACAAAAGAACAAAAATATCTCTAAACAGTAAAAGTTTAGTATCTTTTAACCTCATTGACCATCACACCAGTCTCACCTCTTTCTGTTCTCTCCATGCAATTTTTTAGGGAAGGTCTTAAATTAGTCTCTAAATCTGCCTTAAAAATATCTGTTGTCCCAAGAGCCAAGCCTCTTCCTGAAAGCGAAGGAACCTGTTTGTTTCAGCGCCAGCCTCATCCACCTCTTCCTCACCAGAATCAAACAAAGGCGACGCTTCCTCAGCCCTCACTCATTGCGGCGAGGGAGCGCGGCTGCTCTGAGCCTTTTGGCACATGTACACCAGGCCATGACATCACCGGCCTATGCTTGAATCCACGACCTCGTTGCTTAGACACCCTCTGTATCTATAGGAGACAGTGAGGCCAGTGGAATGTCCTAGTTGCGTCATGGCGAACGTGCTCCGCTGGAGCTTCCCGCGGACGTGCCCCGGCGTTCCCTCCCCTGCCAGGAAAAGAGGGCTCCCCACCACACGGCGTGTTTTACGAGCCCTGGCAGCAGGGCTGGCGGGGCGATGTCTGCAAGCAGCAGGGGGAGCCCAAACATGAATTATAAATGTGGCAAGGAATTCGAAACCGGCATTGCTGAGCCAGGCGCCCCCCCTCCCTGTGCGTTTCTCAGAGGGAGCTGACAGCACCGGCTCCAGGGGCCTGAGGCTCACAATGCAGGAAGGTCCACTGGAGTCGGATAGCCTCTTATCGAGCTCCTTAAAGACCCCGCTGCGTGCACGTCCACCGCCATGTACGGCGGCTCGGGCGTCCACCGTAACGCCTGTAAAGGTTCTTTATTATTTTATTTTTAAATGATGTGACACTTTGGTTTCCTAGCACTTTGTATCCATTGACATATTAACCACACATTTTTCAGTTCCCATTTCAGCCCCCTTTCCTTCAAATAAAAGGAAACAGACTGAAAATTCAGACTAAGCCTCAGTTTTTGGGATTTTAACAAACTGACTCTTATTTAATAGCATTTAGGACCATTTTGGGGTGTAAATTCCAGCTCTTTGCTGTGTGTGTGGAGATCACATGTTCTCCCCATGTAACACAGGATTCATCCGGGTCAGAAAAAAAGGTACAATTTGTGTAATTGTTAATTATTAACAATTACCTACATGTTTGGCAGACCCTTGAGGGTACAGCCAATCATGTACAGAACCAGTTGGTACTTTTTATTTATTGGTTATATAGTGCCTACAGTATGTGATTGTGTGTGTGAGATTTTGTGCCCCGTGTACTGTAGTGCAATCCTGTCCCTAATGTCTCCCCGCCTTGTGCTCTGTGCTACCTGGAATAAGCTCCAGGCTCCCCCCCCCACCCTGCACTGGATAAAATGCTGGAAGGTGGAGAGACTGAATGAATGAATGATACCCGTTTTATGTTTGCGTGTAAATTTTACTGATACACAACACATGAAAGGACTTGGGTGGAATACAAACTGGAATAGATATTTATTCCTGCAAAAAAAAAACTATTCTGCTTTTGTTTGGTTTTTAGGGGGAAAAGTCATATCCCAACTTTTAAAATGTAGAGTTAAGTACATACACATTTGAACTGGAAAAACCTCAATAATCTAATAAATTCTAATTTTGCGAGTTAGTTAGAAATATATATGGGATATGCTGGTAAGCTTTCTAAGATATTTTAGAGGTAAGGTCCAAAGATCCAATCCAAGAACAACTAGACTAGACAGCTTAATAAAATGTGTCTCTTAAAAACCTTATACTTTATCCTGTATTTCATTTTTAATACCATCCTGATGATTTGCATTTCAGGGTTTCCTGGGACTGATATACTGGCATCTTGCATAATTAAAACATATCTTCTATTTCTATGTATATATAGGTTACTGCGCAGCTAATCATTGGGCCTGGCTGAAGTTAAATAATTACATAATAATTATCAAACAAGGTTTACCTTGAATATATTTCCTGACGGACGACATTATGGATTTTACCGTTAAACAACACAATTTTACACAATTAAATTAGAATGTGATTCCTTCATACTTGTCTTAATATCAGTGTTACTGTTAATATGTGTGTATATCTGCACTGGCAGGATTTTGCAGTAGCTTGCGCAGGATTATGTTTTACATGTGATATAAAATCGTTCTAACATTTTAATGTTATAATGCCTACAGGTCACCTGGTACAGATTAAGCAGATACGTGTGGGCAGTTCTAGTCATACCTACTGATGCAGATTTAAATTTCATTGTTTAGATTAGACTTTTGTTCAAAGACACTTTGTATCCATTACAACAGGTCAGGCTAAGAACTTTACTGGAAGGTTCCGCAGTAAGACTCCAGCAAGCTATGCCTTAGAAGCCCATGTAACCATCTATTAAACCACATGCCACCACTTCATAAACATAAACACGTCGTAAACAAACTTTTTAATTTTAGTTCTGCATTTTTCATCTTGGCGGCATGGTGGTGCAGTGGTTTGCACTGTTGCTTCGCAATTCGGGGACCAGGGTTCGAGTCTCTGCCATGGCTCCATGTGTGTGGAGTCTGCATGCTCTCCCCGTGTCATCATGGGGTTTCCTCTAGGTACTCCGGTTTCCCCCCACAGTCCAAAAAAGAGCTGAGGTTAATTGGAGTTACCAAATTGCTTCTAGGTGTGAGTTTACCCTGTAATGGGTTAGTGCCCCATCCTGGGTCGCTCCCTGCTTTGTGCCCATAGGCACTGAACCCCACGACCCTGAATAGAATAAGCAGTTACAGAAAATGGATGGGTTTTTCGTCTTGGTTGGTACAGGCCTAAAAGATAGTGGGCATGATGGCTCTGTGTGTGGTACTGTTGCCTCACACCTCCAGGGTCGGGGGACTGAATCTGGCCTCTGTAGTGTGTGTGGAGTTTCCAAGTTCTCTGTGCATTTCCTCCAGGAATTCTGGTTTCCTCCTACAGTCCAGGCTAACTGGCAACTGTCCATAGTGTGTGAATGTGTGTGTATGTATGTTCCCTACAGGGAACAGGCATCCCATTCAGGATGCCCCCCCTGGCCTTTATCTTTGTGTTGTCTGCGATTGGTTCAGTTGGAAGATGGACGGATAGTCGGTGGAAATCCACTACAGCTATACTTACATTTTTACATTTCTTTTGGAAGAAGAGAAAGTGGGTGGGTGGAGAGGCACTTTAGAAAGCAGTGAGGATGCAGCTGAAGATCGTTTGGTTGTTAGTGAGTCACCATACCTGGTACGGTTAGTCCGAGCGCCACCTTTGAGGCCTGGAAGAGCTGTCCGGTTGTGAAACAGGAAGTCCCCAGTGTCGTTTCGACGGCGACCGATGCTGAGCTCCTGCAGAGAGCCATCGCTGGCATTGACGTTGCCATGGGATAGACTTATATAGTCTAGATCTAAAGGCTCGTTCTCTGAAGAGTACAGTCCCTCTCCCTGGGACAACAGTTGATTGGTTGAAAGGTTGACAAACAGCTCGTCTGAGCCAATGCCTTTCCCCAGCAGTACGCTCCATATGAGGTTATCGGTTTCTGGCACATCCTCAGAAGGGCCGTGGCCAGCAGGGAATACAGGCCCAGTCGCACCAGCCGACCTGGAGTCATTCCTTTCTATATAGTTACCAGAATAAGAGAGGGGGGGGGAAGAGAAGAGAAATGCAGACGATAAGACTACACCCAGTTAAATTACTCTTGGAAACAGCTAACATTATACAGTATAAGTAAGTCCTGATCATGGTTATCACTCTGCACGCATACAAATAGGTGTGCAGTGGATTATGGGATAGGAAACAGGCCACTCTAAACACCATTGGCGATACAGAGTATTTCGGATAAACCAGTAGATGTGTTTGCTTCACCCCAACACCTGGAAGTTCAGAGTGACTGCTACTGCGCTTACTGATACTGTGGGTATGAATCTGTAGTGCCTTGCTGGACCATTCATTGGGCTAAACTGCATGCCCGCTGAGGTAAGATGCATAGCCCCTCATAGCCCGACAGAAGAGGTTCTATTCATAAGCACTTTCTGTCATATCTCTTGTGTGTCTGGTGAACGTGGCGTGTGAAATAGTTTCAGCAGCCTGCATTCTGATCCTGGAGAGGACAGATGTGCACGAAGGATCGATAGCTTTCCTAGTGACTGTAAGGAGGTGGGCGTGAAGGGCTTTTGGTGATGGAGCTGAAGGATCTCTGGAGATCTTTGAAGGTGGGTGTGGAGGGTGCATGTGAAAGACTTTTTTAGTAATGGAGGCAATCAGGCCCTTCAGTAGCATCTCAGCATTAGAACCAGCTTCGCTTCAACATAGCTGACTCTAAAACTGAGATTCTACCGAAGGGCATGATTTTCTGTATCAGGTGTGAAACATTTATAGAGGTATGTATGAAGGACTTTTGGAGTCGACCAACATGCAGGCTATGGAAGAACATAGCGGGGACCCGCATTGAGGAGCTCACCTGTGTATTGGCACGGGGTCAGGCCATCCTGTGCACAGTTCACAGAGCTTATTCCTTTGTACACCTCGTTGGTCTCCTGACCCTTGTGCTCTCTTGCTGCTTCTATGTCGGATGTCTGTTCGATCTCGGCTGCACTCGTGTTCTGCTCCACTCCATTGACTGCCAGTCGCCCCACAGCTGGAGAGGTATCTCCACCCCCTCTGTCCTCTGCCGGCTCAGAACGTTGTTGAGCCAGAGGGGCAGAAGAGAGGGGATCCCGTAGCACCGTGTACTCATAGGTGATGTAGGGGGTCCGGCCATTCTGATTCCACACCTTGGCAGAGCAAATAAATTAACATATGAGAGAGGCCTTCAAAATGGCGGTTGACTGACATCTTTTAAGATGAATGAAACGTTATGGGCTGCATATTTAATAGGCCGCTGTCCGTTGCACATTGATTAAAAGTGACAGACTTTTTATTTTGATGCAAATTAGTAGCACGGAAGCTCAAACTCCCAGCAAAAATTGCAAGCATGCCAATGTGACATAATAATCCATCATACACTATTCAGTGGTACCACTCATAAATCACTGATGTCAATCATAGGGCCTGGCCTCACAGATCTGACGACTGGCATGACTGCCTGCCAGCCATTCACCAGTGCAAAGGATAACCCCTCGACAGTACCAGGATGTTGATGGGCTGATTGATGGGCCCCTTGGCCACGACGTACTCGATCCCCGTCTCGTACACATCCATGGGACGACGGTACTTGAAGATTGTCCCGGCAGCCTGGAAGTTCTGTGGACTGTCCACTTTGTAGGCACCATTGAAGAAGAAATTTCCGGCCTGGTCTGTGACAGCTGCATGAAAAGGACTCTTACAAACTCTAATAATGACCAAATCTTGACAAGGTCAAGTGGCCCATTTGTTTAAAGATGTAATTATATGTGAATGTATCCTGTGTAAGTATTTTGGTAAACCATTACAGTACATATTTTACGTCCTGAACAAAAGATATTTTTTATGAATGAACCTGACTTAATTTACAGTATCATTTGATCAGATATTCCAGGATTACACTTTTATTGCATATAAATCTGCCATAGTCGCTGGTCATGTCTTATACAACATTGGTAAAGAAACGCCATTTTAGACAGGGTTGACCAGTTTTCGCAACAGCGCTAGATATTAATGGAAGCATTCAGGGTTCTAACTGAACAGCAAGGGAACAGCAAGGGATAGCTTGACAAAGAACCCTTCAATCATAACTGAAACCATACCTGTGTATGTATTCAAAGTATTCTTTGTTCGTATTGTGAAGTCCTACTATTAAATTGTCATCCTATCATATTTTAATTAATATAGCCATATTGGACATCCAAATTTTCCCAGGTCTGTTGTATCCCTGGGTCAATAAGGGAGGGGCTTGTGTTACATTTATTTAACCAATCACAGTCTTCATCATATGACATCACCACATTGGTCTGTTTTTTTCCAGACTCAAGGCTTCCAGCCAACACAACAGGGGCAGTGTGTGGTTCAGCAAGCAAGGCCTCTGTGCTTGTGATCACAAGGTTGCTGGTTTGAGTCTTGTTATTGTTGTTGTTCTTATTATTATCATCACTATTATCGTCATGAAATAAAGACACACCCTTACATTGCTCCATACTGCCTTTGCAGATAAGCACATTCCTGTGTTTTATCTCTGTTTATCCATGACATGTCTCTTTAAAAATTTCATATGCAGTAAAACAAGTACTTTACAATTCTCTGCACCTTGTCGCTAACTGGCGTTAATTAGTGTGGTAATGTCATATGATTGTGAGACTGTGACTGGTTAAAGAAGCGAAACACAAGCCCCTCCCTTGCTGACCCAGAGACACATCAAACTCTGCAAAATCAGGACATGCTATCCATGTTCATATGTATATGTATAAGGTATGTTTTGGAGCATGTCACTCTGAGGTCAGGTGTGCTAGAGCCAAATTCATATTGCAGGACACCTTGTTCCCATCTGGTTTTGTAATGTCTGTTGTCGAGGAACGCTCATGTTAGGATGGTGGGCTTATTTTGTGGGGCTTCTTGAACAGAAAAGGTAGTAAATACCCAAAACGTCAGCAGACTTCTTTCTCTCTATGATTTGGATATCCCAAGAGCCTTCGGGGATTTGTGTGATGAAGGAGTAACCTAGGAGGAGACAACAGCAGTGCGAGTCCATTACTCATCAGAACACCTCTGCAGACCTGAGAGGCCTGATGTTTCATGTCTGCTGCCTTCACCTCTCCTCCCTACCTCCCCACTCCTGCACGGAACCTCCTCATCTTAGTTGCGCTTCTGTAGCCCTGCCTTGACTTATATCACCCAAAGTCTGCCTTGTGGCCCTTTCGTAGGACCCTAGTAGCCTTTGGCACCTCTTACCCAAACTGGAGGCACCCCGCCGGAAGTTTCCAGTAATTCGGCTGCAGCTGCTGCCGTTGCCCTGGCACACGCCACACTTGTCCAGGGTATGGGGTGAGAAGAGAACACCATCACAGCCAATAGGCTGCAATGACATACACACAGGGTTGAGTGTCCTCTCTCATAGAAGACTTCTCGTAGTTATAAGGAACTTCCCAGGTTCTCGGTGTTATACCTATGCTTTCTCACAGCATGTGACACACTCATGATCCATCTCTTCCCAAAGCAATTCCCATAGCAACCTTCTATAAAAACACACATTTACGCACCTCTGTTCGTTCCTATAGTGACACATGTAAAAATAACTCCAAGAGAAACACATTTGGTAGATCAACTGTCTCCTGTAGAATCATTTGTGTTCGTGTGACAATAACGCCTGTAAATCAGCACACTATCATGAATGTATCAAGAATGTAGGTTTGCTTTCAACGCTGGAAGGGACCAAATCGGGTTCCACAAAATTGGTAGGGAGAGGCCTGTGCCATCCATGCCGAAATCTCTGCCCTTGCTAGCATGTTAGAACTCTGTGATTGAAAAGTCACTGATCAAAAATACCATGGTCAGCTGAGTGATTTTACCATTGGACTGTTGATCTAGGCCCTTAACCCCAGTTGCTCCAAAGATGGCCATGGCCTGCTCTCCCAATCGTACATCGCTTTGGATAAAAGCCTCTGCTAAATGAAGACATGAATCAATACACTGTTCACCAACCTCACACCTGCCGTTGACGCAGACACCTCTGTAGTTGCTGTACTTGCACGACGTGCCGTCACGGGCAGGAGCCATCAGCTGCCTCTGGCTGTCAGGTGTGGTGCAGTGCAGGTCACAGGGGTTGCTGGAGATATGGACGTAGTCGTCTGCAAGGGAGGCACAGGCCAGGTCAGAACTCCGCAACTGAAACGCAACTCGGCTGTGCAGAAGGCAGGAAACGGGTCCTGCTTGGCCGGTGGTGCAGGAACATGCTGTTACCGGGATAGAGAGGTTTCCAGTGATAGCTTCTGCCGTTGTAAAGCTGCGAGTTGAAGGACCAACACTGCTCCTCTCTGAAACTTCGGCCAGTGGATGGGCAGTCCTGCAATCGTGGTAGGGGTCCATAGACCTTAATGCACTTCGGCAAGCCTGGCTGCCATTATGTTTTTGTTGGCATCAGCACCGGTACAAGCATGACGCAGATTCACTAACCTCAGATTCAGCATCAACTACACAAGGCATTTATAATGGGTTTCACACAGTTGGCAGGAGAAGCAATTGTACTCAACTTCTGATGAGTACTTTGGACCTTTTGGGTTTTTAGCATTTGGAGCATGCTGTTGGAACTGGTGAAAGGTGTTCACCATTGGTTTTGCGTTTCGGGTAGCGAGAGCTCACCTTAGTGTTACACAGGTGGTATTTCTTTGCTGTGCCGCTGCAAGTCATATTTTCCTTCCCAGCAACAGATTTCTTCCTTTAAAGAAAAAGCGGAATTTGTTGTTGCTCAGCTTTCGGTCGTTCCCTCGAGTTGGATTCTAATTTGAAGCTACGTGACAAGTAGTGACAAAATCTTTCGTAAAAAGATGCAAGCTCTTGGGAAATAACTGATAAAAGATACAGGCAGCGGACAAAAAAAATGTAAACATCTGCATGTACGCAAGAATGTGTCCGTCACACCTGAATGGCCTGCAAAATTTCCAGAGCTTTTCTTGGCTTCCTTTTTTGAATGTGTAAACAGGCGCACGTACAGTTCTAGCCAGCATGTCTATAAATGGAGGCCTCAGTGACCTGACCGAGTCACCCAGGGTTTACCGGTGTGTTCGCTGGCAGAGACACCAGTGACGCAGGCCATGGAAATCCCCGTTGTCCTGAGAAACTGTACCGAAAGTCACGTCCCTGAAGGTGAGTATGACATAACGGCATGATGAAACAAGACGACTCAATGGATGAACGTAGAACTCGGTGTGAGGAACGAGTGTTATATTAACAGAAATAATTAAAAATGCCACATTGTTCATAACTGCGGATCCAGGTATCCGGTCGCTCGGAAAACCTCGTGGATCGCATGCCACATGGAATTGATGCCATCTAGCTGCTCCGCGGACCACTTTGGGACAACCAAATGCTGCAAGTGACATTGCACTGCCCTCTCTCTACTTGCTGCACATGCTCTGACCTCTGTTTAAGACAGTGCCTCTCCTGGAACATAACCCCTCCTCCACAAGTACGTGTGCAGGCTGTCCACTTGGCCCACTCGCCCCACCAGTAAGTTGTCACCTCCACCTCATCCTCCAAGCTGTTGGATGCCACTCCCTCTTCCTGGAACAAAGAGCAGTATAGCATATTGAATTTCTTTTGGGTACTGGGAGATGACAGACTTACAGCAAAGGGGGAGGGGGACATGGTCCGAGATGAGACCGGAAACACTTAAAAATGAGAATGCTGCTATGTAACTCAGTGGTCGCTTGTTTAGGTACACATAGTCCGTCGAGGACTCACTTTTTACTCCAGAACCACTTCAAAGGTCGACAAGTGCATTCAGAGAAGCCATTCTACACATCACTGTTGTACTAGCCTGTTATTTTTGCACTTGCGGCCTTCTTTTATGAGATTTTTATGAGTCATGTACTGGCCATTCTCAAACAATTAACAAGTTGTTTTCAGATACAGAAATATCATCGACTCGAAGTTTTTTGTTCATTAAACCATTATCTGTAAATTCCACTCACTGTAGTATGTGAAATCACAGTAGAGTAGCTGTTTCTGAGATGCTGGAATCAACAGGAATGATACCAGCAATCACACCATGTTCAAAGTCGCATCGATCAGGCATCCTACTGTAGCTGTTCTAAGGCTTCGCCAAAGAATAATGAAACCTCTTAGCCCTACCTGTGTGCTGTACGTATGTATGCAATAAACCGGCCACTATGTGTATGTAGCTGAGGTGTGTATGAGATTGACAGGTTGACCGAACACATCCTACCTGTCCTCTGGAAGAGATGTTTCCCAGAGATACTGAGAGGGTCAGCACACCCAGCAGCATTAGGCTGGCCTCCATACACTGAGCCCACGAGGAGATTCTCATCCTTATAAGTAAAAAGAAGGTACTGGATGCAGATAGAATGTGGGCCATGGCAAAGGAGGACAAGTCCCCATCATAACGTTGCAAAAACTCAGAGGGTCAGAAAAGCACTTTAGCCGAGTAGAAAGTGTTATGCTACGCAAATCGTGGCATAATTAGTCAAATAAATAAGTCAAATAAATTCTGGGCTTTGATTAGTGCCTGGGTACCTGCGGTGAATTGTCCCGCTGTGTCACACGCTGGATTGTTGGGCGCAGGGCGCAAACGGCTCCTGGCGAAGGCACCCCCCCCTTTTAACCGCCTCTCTTGCGCAGACGAACACACCAGTTAGGTAGGCTTCCTAAAATAAGCAAACAGATCGTCTAGCTCTGTTTGCAGTCTGGTTTTTTCTGGCACTAAATATTGGTGACAGGTGTCTTGAACTACCCGCAGGAACACCTGGAGTTCATTACGCTCCCAGACACAGCTGGAGCACGTCCAGCTGCCAGACACAGGCTTCCACAGACAGGCTGCACACCCTAGCAGTACCACCCCCCCCCCATCCCCTGGGGCCTCCTGAGGGAGACTCCAGCCTGGCTGTCTGAGGGCTGCAGCAGACTCATCCTTTCTGGAGAGTGGTTTAACCAGACTTGGCTTCCTCCTTTCTCAGAAGCCCGCTCATGTTTTCGTATCATGGATGCTTCTGTGGAGTGCTCTGCGGAGAAGTGAGGCGGCCCTCATGATCTCGGCGGCCCCGTCTGCCTGCGGACAGATACCCAGCACATGCACCGCTTTGTACCCAGCCTGTGTGTTTCCAGACGGAGATGCACAATCGAACATAAAGGCTAAATAACCCACATCAATGCTTTATCAAAAACTTCAGCTGCAAAAGGTTCCAGCTCCTTTCCAAGCCGCAGCTACGTCTGTATAACTAGTTGCAATTTTCTTATGCACAGATGTACAGAGTTTACTGAAATCCACAAGAGAATCTGCATAGAGCCATTTTGCATGCTGACCTAAAAATTAATCTATTCCATGCTTTCCTCAAAGTGCTTTAACAAATTACTGCTCTTGAGGATCTTCCCGGATACTACTTCAGTAAACAATTTCGGCCCATCATTTATTTCATAGCATATTTTTGGGCTCAGGGTCCCTGTAGCCTGTAAGACTCCCTTATATGACATAAAAGTGAGAGTTAGCTTCAAGTTTCTCCTACAATATTTTCATTGGGTACATCCAGACATTGCAATATCTCATACTGCACCTCTACACTATTCTCTACCCCAACACTGTCCTAAACCAAAACACAGTTTCTAAACTCCGTTCCATTATGTTAAAGTTTCATCTATATCCTTACACCATTTCATGCTCCAATACTATAATACTACTATGTCTTTAATGTAATGCATACGCCTCCATAATTGTCAGCCCTTTGTGTTTCCCGTTTCTCTAGAGCTCCCACAATTGTTCTTTAACTCTGCATTGTTGTCCAACAAGTTCTCCAACTGTCTCAAGAAGCTGTGCACCACAATGTACATCCACCCAGTGTTTCACAAACTGCTGATCATCAAAAACTACAATATGTCAAGATTAGAACTGCTTGCATTGACGTAACAAAAAGAGAGACTGAGAAAATTGTCCTTAAATGTCAGGACCAATCTGCTAACTTATCGCCTGACATGTATAATCTGTAGCTGTAGTTTGTCTACAATATGACCTCTACCGCACAGCTAACTCCAAAGACACCTTGCATCACTGTTTCGCTAAGTTAGAGTGACACCGAACATCTCCTAACGGTCTTCCCTCAACTATGCATGGGACTCCAGACCAGACTTTGGCCCCAGCTCAGGAGGGCTGGATAAAGTAAACAGTAGTAGCTGAGTGAGGTTTGAGCGAGGGGACGCGACCTCATGCTGCCCTTGGTGCTCGGTGCAAGGTTGAGGCTTGGACATTTGGATTCGCGCACCTATAACTGATAAACAAACGAATGCATAGACACACAGACACACACACACACACACACACACATACGTGTGTGACACACAAGGCCTGGCTTTGTGCATAGTGGACACTCACCTAGCAGCAGTCCTGGGGCTCTGGAGCAGTGCAGCCGGCGTGCTGCAGCGGAGATGTGTCTTGCGGGTAAGGTGTGCGTCTGCATCCCTATGCTCCCCTCCCCCCCCCACACACACACACTCCCCCCAATCACAGCAGGCAGAGAGAGTGGCAGCAGGGGGAACGCCTATGAGAGCAGCTCCTCCCGGTGCCAAGAGAAGGGCTGCTGTGCTGTGGAGTGGAGCAGGAGTGACTCTCCAAGCCAAGCTGCCGGCTCACAGACAGACAGGGAGGAAGTCACTGTCCCCCTCCATCCGCAGACTCTAACATCCAGAATCTGCTTCTCCTGGGGCAGCCCCTCAGCCACCATCCCTTACAGGTACAAGAGATTGCGATGCCTTGGAGATGTCTGGCCCAGAAGTGGGGTAGAAATCAGGCAGAAAGAGACAAATGCGTAACTATATGTGATTTCTACACAAACAGGGAGACATGCAGAGTTGTTAAGACTGAAAATACAGAGGTGGACTCGCTCAACCCCAGCAGAATGATGAACTACAGAGCAGAGGAAGAACTGGAGGACCAGCACCCAGTCAGAGAGCAACCTTTGACATGAACAAATTTAGATGCAGACGGTTTGCCTGATATGTATTTTGCTCTTTGCATCTCTCACACAAGTCTGGAGTGACACGTGACGTTTGGGATGACATTTTTTTAAAGGACATTGCTGCACAAAAAATTGCAAAAAAATCCAGTAAATCTAAAAGTGTATGAAATGCAAAGTTTCACGTATTACGCAAACACTCATTTACAGATAGGAGACAACCTTCCATCTACAATATCACATCAAAATGAGTTTACTTATAGCTGAAACAATAACCATTTTAAATGCTTAATCATAGTATGTGATTTGCTTCTAACTTTCATTTATACATTGCTGTGCTGTCAAATGCTTGTTTCATTCCTTAAGTCTGCATATTTGCCACAAAACATGCTGAAATGGCTAAACTCTAGCAGGACTTTTCAGGTGAGGAGAGTTTCTTCTCCACTCCCGAACTACGGGTGTGGGGTTGTGTCAGGCCAGCCGCCGTTCTCCTTTGGCCGGGCCGTCTGCCTCTCAGCTGCCTCCGCTGAGGCTAAGCCATCATGAGATACACATCCCCTGGCGAGCTTCTGGCTGGAGGCCCAGGCTCGATCCCAGCCAGACGCTGGCTGAGCAGGTGCCTGCTTACGTGCCCTCCCAGGCACACAGACAAGCACAGATGCACACAATCACTGCAGTTCAAAGATCATCCGGTTTTATCCAAAGGATAATTACAAGTGTCCATTCTGATCGAAATGCAGGACATCCATCCCTTCATCCCTCCCTCCATCCATCCATTCATCCAAATTTTTAACCAGTATAGGGTTACAGGGAGCCTGGGACTTATCCTATGAAGCATATTACATAAAGCAAGGGACACCAGTGCATGCAGGGCTTTCTGCCATACTATGGACTATTCACCAAATTGCATGTTTATAAGAAAATTGGAGTACTTTGAGGAAATCTGTACAAAATGGGAAGAACATGCAAACTGCATACAAACATGAACCTTGGAAGTATGAGACAACGGTGCTAGAGACCGAGTCATTGTGCCAAGACACCCATCCATCAAAGTATCATGAAAGATGTCCATCCATCTAAATGCGACACTTTTCACCAAGGGAAATTTACAATGATGGTTCAGCTGTAATACGCAAGTGTGCGACGACACCAGAGCATCTAGAGGAAGGCCGTGCAAACAGAGAATGCAAGGTAGACAAACTCACTCACACACAGTACCAGGGCTGCGTTCAAAGTGACGACAAGAACCACTGAGAGCCGAATCCTTCTTCAAGGCAACGCCATGCCAGAACTCAAGTTCTGAGTCACTTCTGCAAATCAGTAATTCCTCTTTTTATGTAGTCTGGTGTTTAATATTCTGACTTGCATGAAATTTATCCAGAATAACCTGAACAAAATGTGCAAGCTCCACAGAAGTATGACGTCGATCATGTTCCACTATAACTTCTAACCAAGACTTTTTTTTCCACATGTAACTGATTTGCACATTTTCCATGTCTACTTAGGTTTAGAGTTTATATTTATATCTTGTCTACTTAGGTTTAGGTTTAGAGTTTATATTTTTATATATGTGAATTCTACATTCCTTTTGTTCTGTGCACTCTGTAAAACTGGCACCACGCCATCTCGTCTCTCTGTATACTTGTATATAGCAGAGATGACAATACAGCTGACTTTGACTTTGACTTGACTTGGAAGAAACCTGAATTTGTTAACAGAATCTTTAACAGAATTTCATGTTTCAATGTTAATGAAGCTGTATTATGATAGATAGCACCATCGCCCCTAGTAAGCAGCCAGCAGTGATGGGATACAGGAAACCTGAGAGATTAAGGAAGTTTTTTCAAAATTCTCTTTCTTAGAGGCAAAGCATTTAGATCTTGACAAGTCGTGTTCTTTGATGGATTTTTGTCCAACTGACTGCTCTGTGTTCCATTCATTTGGAACCTGCTAACTAATTCTCATTAGACAGATACTGACTGGCAGAGCTTAACAAGCACTTCTTAGTATCCTGAATTATGATAAGACCTGTTTGGTTTGCACTGAGAATTTGTTTTCACAAATTGGCCGTTTTCCTGTCCTCCATCCTTTTTGAAGCTGCCCTCCTTTATATGATGTCCTGGCTCAACCCCTGCTAATCTCGTTACGCACAGATGTGTCCCCTGCTCTCGCTGAAGAGGAGCAGACATGGCCAGTGCACTCTGTACTCTGAGAGTGAATGGCTCCACATTCCACTGAAATGCCATTATGTGACCTGTGACCCCGGGATCCCAGCTGCACCTCCCAGCAGACAAGCACTGACACTACAATGTGTTTGTTTATTTCAGGGCTCGTCCTACACATCAGCTTTCTGAGTGCCGTAAAAAAAAAAAACTGTTCCATGATTTTAAATATACAAATACTACATATGAAGATGTTGAAAACCCAAGTCAAAGTAAAAATCTTTCAGATAATAAATATTTATAATCACTCAGGTAATTAGACACAGGAAAAAAAATCTTCAGAGAGTATTCCACTACTTTTTCAAGGTCTTTGGGAACACCTAGAGCACAGGTGTCAAACTCCAGTCCTGGGGGGCCAGAGCCCTGCATATTTTTGGGGTTCCCCTCATTTAACACACCTTATTCAACTCCTTGTGCTAATTACCACACAGCTCTTGAGCTGAATCATTTGTGGTGGAACAGGGAAAGAACTAAGCTACACAGGGCTCCGGCCCCCCAGGACTGGAGTTTGACACCCCTGACCTAGAGAAAGCACAAGCTCCAAAAGACTTTGGGATGTAGGACTGAAAGTGAAGTTTGGAGGAGGGTTAGGGTTAGGGTTAGGGTTAGGGTGACAGTGCCACGCTTGGAGTCCCTTTCCTATCCCACTGGCAGGTGGGACAACTGGGCCGAGTCAGGCAACTGCGGCCTGCTGTCACAGCCCTAGGCGAGGTCAGCACTCCAAATGTTGGTTTTAATCTGGGCAGTCCATTCCTCAGATGGACCTCCAGTCACGTCCTTCAGATACACGGAAATCCACACCACCTCTGGTTCTCTTCATGAACCATTCAGTCGTGTTCACTGACCATAAAGACGTGACACACATATCGCATACGTACGGTATGACGTGTGACTGTATAGCCAGTTCCCTCAAAACCAAAGTTCCATGCACAAACGGGGAAGCAATGTGTGGCATTCAGACTGCTGCTGGGTATTATGCAGGAATGAGGGATGCGCTGTATGCAATGTCTTGTTGGGTACATTTGAGGAATGAACACTGTGAAGCATGCTGTAGATTCCTGGTGGCCTCAGTGGTCTCTCTCGCTTGCTCTCCAACACTTTTCCCGTCAAACAGTTGTTCCCCTCTGATGACACGGCACAGCTGAGGTCTCCTGTTCTCGCTGGACATTTAAAGTTTAAAGAGCCCCAGAGGACAGCTGTCAGGGAAACCACTCCGACTCTGCTCTCCTTTCCACAGCAGCATTCTCATTCTCCCTTTCTCACCCGTCCTGAGAGCTCGTGCTCCTTCGCTCTTTCTCGAAGTCGGATCTTCCCGCCGCACCCCCTCCGCCGGGCAGATTAGCACATTTCTCCACGTTGCCAAGATGGGCTCCTTTATTGCCAAGATGCTGCTGCCCACCGTTAGCAGCCTTGTGCTCCTGCCAGCTGCCAGTGTGGCCACCAAGAGGGGCTTCCACATGGAGGCCATGGTCTACTTCTTCACCATGTTCTTCACAGCGGTAAGAGTCCAGCCACGTCTGTTACCGCCATACATGGATGTTTCAGAGCCTGACTGTGAGTGTATGATTGTGCATCACCATGTATGTGCATTAGGTTGGACATATACTCTAATGAGTTTATAGGTTGGGATATATATATGAATTACATATATGATGGTACAGTACATCTATCTGTCTCAAGCTATTGCAACAATCGTAGATGCTGGGATATTGGATAAGTCATGCTTAAACTTCTTCACTGCTTGTAAAAGACCATAAACAACATTATACCATGATGCATAAAATTACTTTTAATTGCAGCAGATGAAGTAATTCCCTCTGATTTATCACAGACTTACCATGCATGTGATGGCCCCGGACTGTCCATCCTCTGTTTCATGCAGTACGAAATTCTGGAGTATTTCAGCATTTACGGCACTGCAATATCCATGTGGGTCACCCTGTTAGGTGAGGACATCTCAGAAATATCACAGTCTGCATATTGGGAAGGCAATAGGTTCACGTTTCATCTGTTGTGCTGGGGCTTTTTAGTCATTCGGTGTTTTGACTAAGTCAGAAGGAAGTTATCAGGCTTTCATACCACTTCCTGATGTGTTGGAACAAGCTAGATGAAGCTGGGTAGCGTCCCAGGCAGCCGGCTGATCGAGTGAGGAGATGATTTTGTCCTCCATGCTGAGAATGCACCCCCCCCCCTCCCTTTGTGTGTCTGTAGCATTAGGTGACTTTGATGAGCCCAAGCGCTCCACTTTGACCATGTTTGGGATTCTGACCACTGCTGTGAGGATCTACCAGGATCGCTGGGGCTACGGTGTCTACTCTGGACCAATAGGAACTGCAGTTCTGATGATTACAGTCAAATGGGTGAGTGACACCTTATATCCCAGCATGTCAGTCATGTGATCTTCCGCTCAGCGAGAGAGGTATGTTACACTTATGCGTAGCTAAACCTTCTACAAAGCTTGTCTCTACAGGGGTAAAGTGTTCGGTCTCGGGTGCGTTTCCCATGACAAAGATGTGTTCGCATCCCTAGCTGCAAAAGATGAAGGAGAAGAAAGGACTGTACCCAGAAAAAAGCGTCTACACCCAGCAGGTGGGGCCGGGCTGCTGCTTCGGAGCCCTAGCATTGATGCTACGCTTCTACTTTGAGGTACCGAGGCCCCTGTGCCTTTCCTGGTCACACCTTCTCAAGAGTTTTGGTTAGCTTGTAATGTGGATCATTTTCTATCTATCTATCTGTCTGTCTGTCTGTCTGTCTATCTATCTATCGATCTGTCTGTCTGTCTGTCTGTCTGTCTATCTATCTATCTATCTATCTATCGATCTGTCTGTCTGTCTATCTATCTATCTATCATCTATCTATCTACCTGTCTGTCTGTCTGTCTGTCTATCTATCTATCTATCTATCTATCTATCTATCTATCAATCTGTCTGTCTGTCTGTCTATCTATCTATCTATCGATCTGTCTATCATCTATCTATCAATCTGTCTGTCTGTCTGTCTGTCTGTCTGTCTGTCTATCTATCTGTCTGTCTATCATCTATCTATCAATCTGT